AACATCAAAACTTCCGGGTGTCCCCTGGGCAACATCCTTGCAGACAGCAAATTCTCTCACACCAGAAGCAACTTGCAGTTTCTCAAGTTGCTCCTGACACAACCAAAAAAATCTTGCTTCACTGCCAACAGAATATCTGAAGATGCCTGCCACAGATGCAGGTGAAATGTCAGGAGAAAATGCTGCTGGAACATGGCTATGAAGCCCTAAAAACTCACAGCAACCCATGAAAACATTGTTTGTGGTCTCTCCGCTTTTGTAAAAGCTTTTGACCCCATTCTTCAATGTGGAAAAGTCTCTAACTTTGGCAGAAAGCATTTAAAGTTAAAATATAATTTGTAATCTCAGTTGTTTGTCTCCTCATCCCTTTCCAGGACAGTCAGGATTGCATAATGGTTTGAATCGTGGACTACAGATCTGGAGACCAGGGTTTAAATCCTGGCTTTGTCATGGAACCCATTAACTGACTTTGGGCATGTCACATTCTCTCAACTTCCTCTGAACCAATCTTGCCAAGAAACCCCAGTGCTAGGTTCACCTTAGGGCAGCGCTTCTCAACCTCGGGGTCAGGATCACTGGGGTGGTGGACTCATGGGTGGGAGGGTGTCAGAGGGGTTGCCAATGCCTATCAGAAAACACAGTATTGGGCATTCTGTGTGGGAAGTTTGGCCCAATTCTATCATTGGTGAGGTTCAAAATGCTCTTTGACTTTAGGTGAACTAAAAATCTCAGCAACTACAACTCCCAAATGTCAACGTCTAGTTTCCCCAAACTCCACCAGTGTTTACATTTGGGCATATTGAGTATTCGTGACAAGTTTGGTCCAGATCCACAGTGCTTTCTGGATGCAGGTGAACTACAATTCCCAAACTCAAAGTCAATGCCCACCAAACGCTTACAATATTTTCTGCTGGTCGTGGGAGTTCCGTATACCAAGTTTGGTTCAATTCCATCATTGGTGGAGTTCAGAATGCTCTTTTATTGTAGGTGAACTATAAATCCCAGCAACTACAACTCCCAAATGACACAATCACCCGCATTTCCCTCAGTATTCAAATTTGGGTGTATCGGGTATTTGTGCCAAATTTGGCCCAGTGAATGAAAATACATCCTGCATATCAGATATTTACATTACAATTCATAACAATAGTCAAGTTAGAGTTATGATGTAGAGTTATGATCACCACAACACGAGGAACTGTACTAAGGGGTCACGGCATTAGGAAGGTTGAGAAACACTGCCTTAGGATTACTATGGGTCAGAAATGAATGGAAGGCAAACAACAACAGCTTCGAATACAGAATGTGCAAATGCTAAGTTTCCCTCTCCTAGAAATTTTCCTACAGCTCCTAAAGTTCAAGCATTGCAACTCCAATTCAGCATTGAGATGTATGACTTGGGCATCCTAGGAAAGTAGTAAATGAATAAAGGTATGCAAACTGTAAATTGAAGAGTTTTAAGTTTAAAAAAAGGTTTTTAGTGACTTGCTTTCTGTAATGCTAGAAATGTGGGGAATTGAGCAAAAATCATTTTGGGGAGCAAAGTTGTTATGAAGCAGGTGGGAGAGGGCAAAGACCTCATTTTGCAACTGCTCTAGTTTCATCTGTGTCCCCTGCCCCTAAATCTATGTAATTCAATATACCCTGCAGATTAGAAGACATTATCTAAGAGAGAAGGTGATAATGATACCTGTGACAGCGTAACACCTAATCCCCTTATTTACTAAACATTTCCAGGAGGATCAATCCTCCTTATGTGTGTTTATTAGAACTCAGAAACCTACTTCTGCCCTCAAATATGTTTGCATCTTAAATTCTGGGTTTGTTTCTCCACTCTCTCTGTAGCAATTGAAATAGTTTATTGTCAAAGGCTTTCATGGCTGGAATCACTGGGTTGTTGTAGGTTTTTTGGGCTATATGGCCATGTTCTAGAGCGCATTCTCTCCTGACGTTTCACCTGCATCTATGGCAAGCATCCTCAGAGGTAGTGAGGTCTGTTGGAACTAGGAAAATGGGTATATCTGTGGAAAGACCAGGGTGGGTGCAAAAATGACCTCACAACCTCTGAGGATGCTTGCCTTAGATGCAGGTGAAACATCAGGAGAGAATGCTTCTAGAACATGGCCATACAGCCCGAAAAACCTACAACAGCCCAGAAATACTTTGTGTTCAGCTCATTTAAAAATTTGGGAAGACAGGCAAATTTTGTGCAAATGCATGATGATATTTGCATGTTATCAAATCTTGCTCAACAAAGAGAGAGAGAAAGAAAGAAAGAAAGAAAGAGGAAGGAAGGAAGGAAAGAAGGAAAGAAGGAAAGAAAAGAAGTGCGTTGTCATTTTCTTTTTCTCTTAAAGCAGTGGTTCTGGTTCTCTCCGCCTGTCCTTCTCTTCCTTTTTGGAAACAGATGAGTGTTCCACCCAACAAAAGCCCTCCTCCACTGTGATTGTCCGGCCTCTCAGCCAGGGAGAGGACTGTTTCTGAGACTCCAAGCAGGGAGAGGGAGAGCAGGCATGCTCGGCACATGGCAGCATGGTGCGCATGCGTGGGTGGCCGAGAGCATGCAAACTTGGAAGGAGGCTCATGCCAGCAATTCCCTTCAAGGCAGGGGGGTCTGTATGGAAAGTTTGGTCCAATTCTATAATTGGTGGGGTTCAGAATACTCTTTGATTGTAGGGGAACTACAAATCCCAGCAACTACAACTCCCAATGTCAAGATCTATTTTCCTCAAACTCCACTAGTGTTCATATTTGGGTACTGAGTATCCTTGCCAAGTTTTGGTCCAGATCCACTCAAAGGTTTGGTCCGGGTCCACTCAAATGTTGTTTGAGTCCACAGTGCTCTCTGGATATAGGAGAACTACAATTCCAAAACTCAAGGTCAATGTCCACTAAACCCTTCCAGTATTTTCTGTTGTTCATGGGAGTTCTGTGTGCCAAGTTTGGTTCAATTACATCATTGGTGGAGTTCAGAATGCTCTTTGATTGTGGATGAAGTATAAATCCCAGCAAATACAACTCACAAATGACAAAATCAATCCCAACCCCAACCAGTATTCAAATTTGGGCATAATGAATATTTCTGCCAATTTTGGTCCAATGGATTAAAATGCATCTTGCATATCAGATATTTACATTATGATTTATAACAGTAGCAAAATTCCAGTTATGAAGTAGCAATGAAAATCATGTTATGGTTGTGGGTCACCACAACATGAGGAACTCTATTAAGGGGTTGCGGAATTTGGAAGGTTGAGAAATACTGGATTAGAGGGTTTGAATGGTCCTTTGCTTTTGCTTTAAAGTCATTTGAAAACCTTTTCCAATGTGGCACAACAGATACCAGAACCATACCATCATAACCAATGCTCTGGAACCCCATTATGACATCTTAAAGGGTTCTTTCCTTGGATGGAGCTCTTTCCCAACAAGAAGATTTATTTCTGGGCACTCAGCAATGGCAACCCAGTTTCTTTTGCTCCTCTGGCTAGCTTCCCCAGCATTGGCTTGCCTCTATTGCTTCTCCAATGGTGCTGAACGCCTTCGCGTTTGCCAGTATTTTTTGGGCCACGAGAGTGAGCAGCATGGAGCTTGCCTGCAGGCCTTGAAGGTGTCCTTTGAGCCTTACATTACAACCAAGGTGGGTGAGTGCCATCCCATTCACTAGCGAACCAAAAGGAACAGAAAAATTCAGGCCTTAAGTGCCCTCAATATGCATAATATTCCAGCTGGGGATGGCACAAGCTTTCATTGGAGGACTTACATATTTATCACACTATGGTATGTCATTATTGGGCTTCCATACAACTTATTGTTATGGCCCTATTCTGTGGAAACTTAGTATTGGAAGTTTCGTGAGATGTTTAGAATTTTCTGCCAGAAAGCTTGAGCGTACCCTCAAATACAAGCATTGTATGTGATCCACCATGACAATTAAAGTGGCATCAAAGTACAATCTATATAAATAAAAATGTAATGTTTGTTTGTGGGATTAACATAATTCAAAAACCACTTGGCACCAAATTTGGACACAATACACCTACTACCCCAAGGAGTGACCATCACTCAAAAAATGGATTTTGTCATTTGGGATTTGTAGTTGCTGGGATTTAACGTTGACCTACAATCAAAGAGCATTCTGAACCCCACCCATGATGGCATTGAACCAAACTTGCCACATAGAACTCCCTTGACCAACAGAAAACACTGGAAGGGTTTGGTGGGCATTGACCTTGAGTTTGGGAGTTGTAGTTCACCTGCATTCAAAGAACACTGTGAACTCAAACAATGATGGATCTAGACCAAACTTGGCACAAATACTCCATATGCCCAAATGTGAACACAGATGGAGTTTGGGGAAAATAGACCTTGACATTTGGGAGTTGTAGTTACTGGGATTTATAGTTCACCAACAATCAAAGAGCATTCTGGACCCCACCAACGATAGAATTGGGCCAAATCTCCCACACAGAACCCCTACGACCAACAGAAAATACTGTGTTTTCTGGTGGTCTTTGGCAACCCTTCTGACACCCCCTCACGACCCTCCCCCAGGAGGTCCCAATCCCCAGGTTGACAAATGCTGCCTGAAGGCCATCCAGTCCACCTCTCTTCACCAGGGCAAGAAAACATAATCAAAGCCCTCCTAACAAAGAGCCATTCAGCCATAGATAGATAGATAGATAGATAGATAGATAGATAGATAGATAGATAGATAGATGATCCACACACAGAGAGATATATATGTATATATGTATATGGCAGATGTAATATCATATTGAAAGGGAGCCCTAAAGAAGGACAATAATATATTCTATGTTCCAGAGTAGGCAAACGAGACAATCTCTACATCAACACTTACAAAGAAACAAGTACTCTTTACCCACAAGCATAAAGAAATTACATATATTAAAAACCAACACTTTCTCGTTACTTTATTTTCCGGATCACCAGAAAGGGCCACAGCAACGTGTGGCAGGGGATGGCTAGTATGAGGGCATTTTTAGGTCCCAAATGTGACCTCTGAAAACAGCTCTGCAATTCAATGCAGCCCTTTGGATCAAAGGGATTCACCTTCCTTGTCTTAACTGACTATTCATAGGGGACATGTTGGTGTCTTCTGCTTAATGCTGGTCCAGATGATGCTTCCACCTGCAAATGTCTTGGAATCATGGGGGGTGAAGTTTGGTGAGGCGTCAGAACTCTTTGACAGAGAAGACCAAAGACCTTGCAAAACTACAACTCCCGGGATTCCATAGCATAGCCATGGTTGTTAAATTGGTAACAAACTGCATTCGTTCCTCTTCCATTCTTTCCAAGATGCGGCTGAAATGCCAAAGCTGAAAGACACATTTTCCAGGATCTTGTTCTTCATGGAGGAGAAAGGCACGGCCAATGGTGAGACACTGCAGCATTCTGCAAAATTTAAATAATAGTATACGTCTCACTCTATCCAGAGGACTTGAGGCAAGTGAGAGAAGGTATTGCAAGATGGGGTGGGCACATTTGGGTTTGTAGGGTTTTCTTTATAGTTTGTTTCTAACAGGAACCAGAAAGCAAGAGTGGGGAACTCTTGGAGATTAAGAGATTGCATTATTCTCCCATGAGATTTTGGAAAATAGCACTATGTAACAAAATTTCAAAACAATTCTGTTCCTGGCTTGAAAGTGTTATTTCCTGTTTAATTGTGCAGTCCTTACTTTGAAAGTAGTTGTTATACCCAGAAACCTTATTTTTGTGGTTACCACAAACTATGTGGAATTGGTTGAGATTCATTGAAAAGCTATAGCAAAATGTGCTGCAGGATGTCCTGCAAACGCAAAGTTTAGGCAGTTTAATCAACTTTTTCCATGTTTTTATGATATAATTAATTAGGAAATGACATTTATAACTCAGGAACGAAGAGCTGTTACATAGTGTAGTCTACCACAATTACTTCTATTTGTTGGCCTCCCGCACTCCCTTTGTGGTGTGCCTTTAAGTTGTTTCCAGCTAGGAAACATGTGTTCTTGGGAATGCATGTTCAGAGAGATTTGCCTTTGCCTTCTTCTTAGGCTGAGAGAGTGTGACTGGCCTAAGGTCAGCTAGTGGGTTTCCATCACGGAGCATATTCTTCAGAGTTGTAGCAAAACCCTCAATTCACTACACCAGACATGGGCAAACTTTCTGACACGGAGGCCACATGCAAGTACTCCCTGCTAGGATGACTGTCTGCCTGGTAATGGATAGAAGGAAGGGAAGGAGGAAGGAAAGAGAGAAGGAAGGAAGGACAGAAAGGGAAGAAGGGAAGAGGAAGGGAAGGGAAGGGAAGGGAAAGGGAAGGGAAGGGAAGGGAAGGGAAGGGAAGGGAAGGGAAGGGAAGGGAAGGGAAGGGAAGGGAAGAGAGAAGGAAGAAGGAAGAAGGGAGGGAGGAAGAGGGAAGGAGGAAGGAAGGAGGGAAAGTAGGAAAAAGGAAGGAAGGAAGGAAGGAAGGAAGGAAGGAAGGAAGGAAGGAAGGAAGGAAGGAAGGAAGGAAGGAAGGAGAAGGAGAGAGAGGAAGGAAGAGAGGAGGAGGAGAAGGAAGGATGGAAGGAAGGAAGGAAGGAAAGAAGGAAGGAAGGAAGGAAGGAAGGAAGGAAGGAAGGAAGGAAGGAAGGAAGGAAAGAGAGAAGGAAGAAAGGAGAAGGGAAGAGAGAAGGAAAAGAAGAGGGGAAGGTAGGAAAGAGGGAGGGAAGGAAGGAGAGAAAGAAAGAGAAGGAAGGAAGGGAGGAAGGGAAGCATGAAAGGAAGGAAGGAAGGAAAAAGAGAAGGATGGAATGATGAAAGGATAGAAGGTAAGGATGGAAGGAAGGAAGGAAAAAGAGAAGGATGGAATGATGAAAGGATAGAAGGTAAGGATGGAAGGAAGGAAGGAAAAAGAGAAGGATGGAATGATGAAAGGATAGAAGGTAAGGATGGAAGGAAGGAAGGAAGGAAGGAAGGAAGGAAGGAAGGAAGGAAGGGAAGGAGGAAGAAGGAAGGGAAGAAAGGAAGGAAGGAAGGAAGGGAAGGGAAGGAAGGAAGGAAGGAAGGAAGGAAGGAAGGAAGGAAGGAAGGAAGGAAAGGAGGAAGGAAGGAAGGAAGGAAGGGAAGGAGGAAGGAAAGAAAGCAAGGAGGGAGGAAAAAAGAGAAGGAAGGAAGGATGAAAGGATTTTGCTCATTTTCATTTTTTCATCCTTTCTGTTGAAATTGTCCATCTGCTTGTATTCTGACACAGAGAAGAAACCTTCAGCTTTTTCTTTCCATAGTACCCTTCCGAATAGGCATCTCAGAAGCTGCAGAAGAGATCAAGGAAGAAGTGGCAAAACTCAAAAAAGGTACAGGAGGAGTGTTGGGGGTGGGGGTGGGGAATCATTCAGCATTCTTCTTTATTCCCAGGTGCATCTTTGTTGTTGAATTAATGCAGTGTGACACCACTTTAGTTGCTATGACTGAATTCTGGGAATCCTGGGATTTGTCATTTGGCGAGCCACCAGCACCTTTTCCTCAGAAAAGAAGGCTAAACACGTTGTACTACTTCCATGATTTATCTTCATTGAGCCATGACAGTTAAAGTGGTGTCGAACGGGACTAATTCTACAGTCTGTCTTAGGAATCCTTTTGGTAGAGAAGGCTGAAGATCTCGCCACCTGACTTTCTCTTCCTTTTGGTTTTGGTGAACTACAACACCAAGAATTCAAAAACATCACCGTCCCCCGTCCCCCAACCCCACCAGTATTCAATGTTGGCCATACAGGTAGTGTGTCAAGTTTGGTGCAGATCCATTGTGGGCTGGGTTCAGAGTGCTCTTCGATTGTAGGTTCAATTCCATCATTGATGGAGTTCAGAATACTCTTTGATTATAGGTGAACTATAAATTCCACCAACTACAACTTCCAAATGTTAAGGTCCATTTTCCCAAGACTCCACCAGTTTACATATTTGGCATATTAAGTATCCGTGCCAAGTTTGGTCCAGATCCATCATTGTTTCAGTCAACAGTGCTCTCTGGAGGTGGTTGAGTCCACAGTACTCTCTGGATGTAGGTGAACTACAACTCCAAAGCTCAAGATCAATGCCCACCAAACCCTTCCAGTATTTTCTGTTGGTCATGGGAGTTCTGTGTGCCAAGTTTCGTTGAATTCCATCGTTGGTGGAGTTCAGAATACTCTTTGATTGTAGGTGAACTATAAATCCCATCAACTACAACTTCCAAATGCCAAGGCCCATTTTCCCAAGACTCCACCAGTTTACATATTTGGCATATTAAGTATCCGTGCCAAGTTTGGTCCAGATCCATTATTGTTTGAGTCCACAGTGCTCTCTGGGGGTAGATGAACTAAAACTCCAAAGCTCGTGATCAATGCCCACCAAATCTTTCCAGTATTTTCTGTTGGTCATGGGAGTTCTGTGTGCCAAGTTTGGTTCAATTCCATCCTTGATGGAGTTCAGAATGCTCCTTGATTGTAGGTGAACTATATCTCCCAGCAACTACAACACCCCAAATGACAAAATCAATCCCCCCAACTCCATCAGTATTCAAATGTGGGTGTATCAGGTATTTGTGCCAAATCTGGTCCAGTGAATCCTGCATATCAGATATTGACATTACCATTCATAACAGTAGCAAAATTACAGTTATGAAGTAGCAACAAAAATAATTATATGGTTAGGGGTAACCCCAAAACATGAAGAACTGTACTAAGGGGTCGCAGCATTAGGAAGGTTGAGAACCACTGTTCTAACTTACTAAGTAAACACAATTTCACTGTTTTCCGCTTTCCAGCTTCAGCCTGCATTCCTCCATGTGGTAAGTCTAGAAGCCATCTGATTTTTATGAAAACACCTCCCTGCATTCCATTTTTGTAAGTCCCCCAGACCGCATCCCTACCTCCTTCCCTTCTGGCTCATAAATCTATTCTCAGCTCTCCTTTTATTGTACCCCACAGGGTTCCAGATAAATGCCCGTTACTATATCTGCACATCTTGTAGTTTTGAGGACTGCCAGTTGCCAATCGATTGCCCAAGTACATTCTCTTTGGTTCTTCCTGTGATTTTCTTTCTAAGTAAGGTGACTTGATAGTGGGAGATTGGATGATGATGGTAGGAAATAAACTTTTGCGCCCAGACTCTATTATATTATTTCCCAGATGAAAACTGAGATACATATGGCCAAGCAATGTAGAGAGTTGGGTTGTTGTAGGTTTTTTCGGGCTAATGTAGAGAGTTTCCAAAATGGCAAAAAGTATGAATGGGGGGAAATACTCAAACTAGGAAATGATGCACCAGTTTGCTTTTGCCTGAGCCAACTGGGAAGGGGAAGAATTTTCTCCGTTCCTTTCTTTCTTTTATAGCCATTTCATCACACTGGAGAAAAAATCCACTTAAAATCTAGTTTCTGCCACTTGCAGAATTCTGAGGTTTGTCGTTTAGTGAGGCTGTTAACTGAATGTATTTTGGATTCAGCCCCCTTCTACACTGCCATATAATCCAGTTTCTGGTCCCAGTTGACACAATGTAACACGATTTTTGTTCCTGGGTTATCAACATCATAGGAATCTCCTCTGGTAGTGCAATGGGTTAAACCTTTGTGCCGGCAGGACTGCTGACCAAAAGGTCGGCGGTTTGAATCCGGGGACAGGGGTGAGTTCCTGTCTGTCAGCTCCAGCTTCTCATGCGGGGACATGAGAGAAGCCTCCCACAGGATGGTAAAACATCTGGGCATCCCCTAGGCAGCATCCTTGCAGACAGCCAATTCTCTTACACCAGAAGCGACTTGCAGTTTCTCAAGTCGCGTCTGACATGAAAAAAATATCAATGTCATTTCCTAATTATTAAAACATGGGGAAAGTTTATTAAACTGCAGCATATTTTGCAATATTTTTTCAATAAATATCTCATTGAGTTTCAACCAATTCCAAATAGTTTGTGGCAGCCACAAAAACGAAGATTTGGAGTACAATAACTGCTTTCAAAGTAAGTACTGCACAATAGAACAGGAATTATTTATTTATTTATTTATTTATTTACCTTACTTATATACCGCTGTTCTCAGCCCGAAGGCGACTCACAGCGGTTCACAACAAATACGAACAGCAAAAATTCAGTGCTACAGTATAAAAACAGTTAACAACCTAACACATTACACAATTAATAAACAGTTACTACAATACCCATTCACTGTCGTCTCGTCATCAAAAACATGTTCCAGATTCGTCATCCATTGTTCCATTCCAGTTAACACTTTCAAACCAGATTCGTCATCCATTGTTCCATTCCAGGAATAACACTTTCAAACCAGGAGCAGATTTTTTTTTTCAAATTTTGTTACATGGTGTTATCTATTTTGAATTGGATTATATGACAGTGCAAACTCATATAATCCAGTTCAAAGCAGATAATCTGTGATCTGATACTGGATTATATGGCAATGTAGATCCATATTCAGTTTGCAACAATTGAGATCAACATAGGACAAAGAGGGGAAATGGAAAGATTTGAGAGAAACAAACATTTTAAAGTATATGACAAAGTGAAGCAACTTAAAGTTAACCAGGACTCAATTCAGGACAGTTGGGAAATAAGGGAAAGGGATAATGGGAGGGGAGATAAGTGATGAGAAAAGGCCCACAGAGTTTTGTCTGCGGAAGTAAATCACCCCATTGGATTATCTATATAGGGACATGAGAAATATTGAAGAACTACTCCCAGTTGTGTAGCTACCAGGCATTTGGATGGATAGAGTTAGATTTTGCTAAAAACAAACTAATTTTATATCCCTCTCATACCCATTTTCCCATTATCTGTACAACCCCCCAGTACAGGATATTCACAAAAAGGAAGGAGATGCAACTCTTCTCAACTGTGAGGTTAAGTTCGAGGTTCCCCAAGATCGGACAATCCGGTGGAAATTTGCTAAGGAAGTAAGTGATTCTCTGGGGGCTCAGAATAACTTAAGAACAAAAACTCCTATGTGAGTTGCCAGTTCACTAACTTTGTGAATTTATTTATTTTGTCCTTCAGTTGCAGTGCTGATGGAGGGAACTTTGCAAAAGTGCAGGAAAGGGCATAACTTAGTCTTGTTACTTCTCAAATAGATTACTGCAACACGTTCTACATGGGGCTGCCCTTGAAGACTGTTCGGAAGCTCCAAGTAGTCCAAAGGCCTACTTTAGATTTTAATTTCTTGTATAAGTTAAAACTTGTACATGCAAATTTGCATATGATTTTATACACATTGAATTTATGCTTTTATATAACTAATTTACGTATTAATTTTCTACTTAAAAAACAGCTATTTATCTTTCACATGGAGTACTATATTTTTGTCTTATATGGTAAATTTGTAATTGGCATTTTTTAGTACAATGGGGTCTCAATTGGTATTGTCTCAAATTGAGATTAATTCTTTTACCAAAAATCATTGTTATATACTTTTTTCTTTAGAGCATATCTGGTTTTCCTGAGTAGCATTTGCTTTGGACCCTTCCAGACAGGTACAAAAATGCAGGTCCTGTCGTGCTTTTACTGGAGGCATCCAAAAAAAGGGCCTGGGTCTAATGGGATATTGGGCCAGTGGGGACTGACTACTGGGTTGTCTTGAGATGCTTCAGAGTCAGTCCCCACAGCCATCTCACACTTTTTGGGCTCCTGGAGCCCAAATGTACAAGATGGCACCCACATCCTCCTCCCAAGCCCCCCAAAACAAGCCTTAAAGTTAAATGGAAAATTGCCAGGCCGCTGTTCGGCTGCCTTGAGAATCCTCCTGGCATGTACAAGAGATGCACCAGAAGACCAGGAGGAAGTGGAGGTTCCTGTCTCCTGGCATATTATTTCTATGTACCAGGACTCGCAGAGCAGCTTGGCGGTGGCCCAGTAAGATTTTTCTTATTTTGAGGCTTGTTTTGGGGGTGCCCCCCCACCACCACCAAGCCTGGGTGTTTTTTTTGGGGGGGGGGGGGCTTGAACTCACATCTGAACCAAAGTGGATTTTAAAAATACACTTTGCTGCAGATTTGGGTATTGTCTGGAAGTGCTCTCCAAAAGCAAAACACGGCCATCCCCAAAGAAACTGGTGTACTTGTTGGCCCTTGAAATGCCTTGAAATAAATGATTATGTTATTGAGAAAGCTTTTCTTGCCATTATATTGTTTTTGTAAAATAAAAATCACTGCATTTAATACAGCATCTGTCACATTAATTATATATTAATACACTGCAGTAGATGACTTGGATTTGTGTAACGATCATTGGAATGGCCTGACCTTGATTGTGAAAAATGTGATTTTATAGTTGCAAATGGTATTGTTTATGTTTTAATTGCTTTTAACCTCGTTTAGATTTTTAACTAAATGTTATTTAATTGTTGAATTGTTTAAGGCATTGAATTTTGCTTCTGCTGTAAGTCGCTTTGAGTCCCCTTCAGGGTCGAAAAGGGCGGGATATAAATATAGTAAATAAATAAAGAAATATAATCCAGTTTAAAGCAGATAATCTGGGATCAGATCCTGGGATATAGGGCCTTGTAGAAGAGGCCATAGATGTTATCCAACAGATCCCTCTGACATTTGTGCAACCCTATTTTAGTCCGTATGGAAACAATTCTATTTCTCATGGAAAGGGATGGGGTTTCCCCAGCCACAGGGTATGGCTGTATGAGTGACACAGTTCCCCTGTTTCATTCTTGTTGGTTGTCTCAGCAAACTGAAAGCCAAAACCAAGGTTACAACAACATCTATTATAGAACTCCAGTATGCTGATGACAACGTCGTCTGTGCGCATTCAGAAGAAGATCTACAAGCCACTCTAAACACCTTTGCAGAAGCATACGAGAAGCTCGGCCTGTCATTGAAAACCAAAGTGCTCTTCCAGCAGTCACCAGCCAACCCCTTTCCAATGCCAGAGATACAGCTTAATGGTGTAACATTAGAAAATGTTGACCATTTCCGCTGCTTTGGCAGCCACCTCTCCACCAAAGTCAATATCGACACTGAAATACAACACTGCCTGAGCTCTGCGAGTGCAGCGTTCTTCCGAATGAAGCAGAGAGTGTTTGAGGACTGGGACATCCATAGGGTACCAAGGTGCTTGTTTATAAAGCTATTGTCCTCCCAACCCAACTATATGCCTGCGAAATGTGGACTGTCTACAGACGACACATGCAACTCCTAGAACAATTCCATCAGCGCTGCCTTCAGAAAATACTGCAAATCTCTTGGAAAGACAAGCAGACAAATGTCAGTGAGCTGGAAGAAGCAAAGACCACCAGCACTGGAGTGATGGTCCTCTACCATCAACTCCGCTGGACCGGCCACGTTGTCCAGATGCCCGACCACCATCTCCCAAAAGTTGCTCTACTCCGAACTCAAGAATGGAAAACGGAATGTTGGTGGGCAGGAAAAGAGATTTAAAGATGGGCTCAAAGCCAACCTTAAAATCTCTGGCATAGACACTGAGAACTGGGAAGCCCTGGCTCTTGAGTGCTCCAGTTGGAGGTCAGCTGTGACCAGCAGTGCTCCAGAATTTGAAGAGGTACGAATGGAGGGCGAAAGAGAGCAAAGTGCCAAGAGGAAGGCACATCAAGCCAACCCCGACCGGGACCGCCTTCCACCTGGAAACTGATGCCCTCACTACGGGAGAAGATGCAGATCAAGAACAGGGCTCCACAGTCACCTACGGACCCACCCTGGAGGATTATCCTACTCGGACAATGGGGGATCAAGTAAGTAAGTAAGTAAGGTTGGAATTGTGCACATGGATGTGTTTGATAGCATTCTGAATTTGATGCCACAAGTGAGTGCATATAAAGAGTTCCTAAAGTGACTCTCCAAAACTTTTCAAGCCTAGATAGAGAACATAAAAGTATATCACTGTGCCATGAATGCTGTGCTTGATCTTCCTCCCTCTGGTGGCGGAAATAGGAAATGAATGTAACCTTTCTGCCAGATGCAGGTAAATCCAGAATCTGAAATGCTTCAAAATCCAAAACAATCCATAAGACAATTGGGACAAAGCTACCTTTGCTTTCTGATGAACCTGTGTATACAAAATTGTGCATACAAATTACCTTCAGAGTGCTTGCTTACTTACTTAGATGATCCCTCGTTGTCCGAGTAGGATAGTCTTCCAGGATCAGTGTACTGGCAGTGGGTCCGTAGGTGGCTGTGGAGCCCTATTCTTGATCTGCATCTTCTCCCGCAGTGAGGGCATTGGTTTCCAGGTGGGTGACGGTCCCAGTCGGCTTGATGCACCTTCCTTTTGGCACGTTTCTCTCTTTCGCCCTCCATTTGTGCCGCTTCAAATTCTACAGCACTGCTGGTCACAGCTGACCTCCAACTGGAGCACTCAAGGGCCAGGGCTTCCCAGTTCTCAGTGTCTATGCCAGAGTTTTTAAGATTGGCTTTGAGCCCATCTTTAAATCTCTTTTCCTGTCCACCAACATTCCGTTTTCCATTCTTGAGTTCGGAGTAGAGCAACTGCTTTGGGAGACGGTGGTCGGGCATCCGGACAATGTGGCCGGTCCAGCGGAGTTGATGGCGGAGGACCATCACTTCAATGCTGGTGGTCTTTGCTTCTTCCAGCATGCTGACATTTGTCCGTCTGTCTTCCCAAGAGATTTGCAGGATTTTTCGGAGGCAGCGCTGATGGAATTGTTCTAGCATGTGACGTCTGTAGATAGTCCACGTTTCACAGGCATATAGCAGGGTTGGGAGGACAATAGCTCTATAAACAAGCACCTTGGTATCCCTACGGATGTCCTGGTCCTCAAACACTCTCTGCTTCATTCGGAAAAATGCTGTGCTCGCAGAGCTCAGGCGGTGTTGTATTTCGGTGTCGATGTTGACTTTGGTGGAGAGGTGGCTGCCAAGGTAGCGGAAATGATCAACATTTTCTAATGTTACACCATTAAGCCAAACTACTGGCACACCCACAGAAAACTATATTTTTTCTTCGTGGGTTCTCTAGCTGTACTGCAGCACTTGAGAGTCTGCTCTGCTCCAAAAAATCCCAAACCCCCCCCCCCCTACTGCGCCTGCGCGGGCTCCAACGGAAAACTTCTACTTTTGAAACTTTTAAAGTTTTGGCGGTAACCCCGCCCAGCCCCGGCAGGGGATAAAAGGGCGCCCCGCGCCGCCACTCCAATTCCTTTCTTTCCGCCGCACGGCTCACTTCGGTGCTTCTTGTGTTGGTTAGGATAGTTAGTGATATTGTTGGATAGTGTTGGATAGCGTTTCTTCTCATCTCCATCGAGTTGTTGACCGGATTATGTCAACAACTCGCTTCAAAAAGTGTTCGAGATGTCCGAAAAAGATCCCTGACTCGGACAGTCATTCGCTTTGCCTTCTGTGCCTCGGCGAGGCGCACATCACATCGACGTGTCGTCATTGCCAGGCCTTGACGGCACAGTCCCGAAAGAACCGGGAACATCGTCTTCGGTACCTCCTGTACCAACAGGCTTTGGCCCCGGTACCTTCGACGTCGCGTCGTGGCGTCGACATCGTGTCTCACGGTTATCAATAGCTGGCCGCTCAGAACTTCCGGGGGCATCGGCCTACGGGCTTCGTCGGACTCGTTCGGACAGGGCTTGCTATGCTCGTCGACACTAGCGGCACTCGACGAAGAGTAAGGTGAGCACAGAAAGGCGAATGGAATGCGATGTCGTTCGACGACCTCGAAGACGTCGGTGTCGATGGCTTCCAAGGCCCCACGGCCTTCCAAGCTACCATCTTCGCGCTCGGTCACCACTGAGACCGTGCGCGTTCGACACTCCTCCACAAGCTCTGTGGCATCCGTCAGGTCTGCTGTCTCCACGAGGTCGACATCGACTCCGCCATCCTCGACGGCGGTCCGTATTGCCTTCCGTCGGTCTCAGGAGGAGGCGCGACGTGCATCCACCCCGTCTCCCGTTCCGCCCACCCCGGGC